ATGAATTGCAGGCGTTTGGATCATTCGGAATTTTTTTCACTACCCTGAGTACTGATTGAGGGGGGGGGTACTGTATCCTACCAAATACATAGACATCCTCGCATCGATTACCGTTACTATCGGCAATTTGTTGAACTTTACTTCTTTAGCGTTATATCGAATGATGGTAACGCAGAACAAATACATTGTTATTTACTTTTACTATAATATCTATTACAGCCACCTCTTTTCTGATGGCTGCGATGCCAAAGACACGAGGAAAAACAAAAATACAAATCGAAGAAGAATTTAGAGGTAGATTAGAAGATAGATTATAGAATAAAAATTGAAGATACACGTTCAACAACTGAAGCTACAAACGGTAAAACGGTAAAACGTTGTTGAAGTGTTGCATGCATCTTGATATAAAATAGTGGATTTGTAAACGTGTCATTGTTATTATTGTAAAATAAATATTTCTTCACAAAATAAATATTTAATGCTAATCTCTCTCTCTCTCTCTCTTCATATCGAAGCAGATGAAGAAATTGGAATGTGAAGATTCTGTGTGTCCCTCTAGAGTGGCAGAAAAGAAGCTTACAGATTACTCACAAGGTATATCACAACCAAGATAAGAAAGAAGTTAATATAAATACCCATTATTCACTGAATTATGCAGATGTATATATTGTTATTGGTCATAAAAATGCTTTTAAATACTTAAAGAATAATATATTGATATTTTTGGATAGTCAATTGATAATGAGAGTCAAAATTCTCCCAAAAACCAAAGATTATTTTTTCATATCTATAAAAGATAATTTTTCTCTTCTCTCAAGTCTGTGTTAAGAATTATGTCTGCTGTAGGGAAATTAAAATTACAAAGATTTCATTTTAGTTTTTATTTTATAATTATTTATCAAATACAATATCTCTTCTGCCTGAATATCAACATATATAATTAGAAATATAGTACAATATAAGGATCTCTCTTCTCCTTATCTATGTCGTTGAATATTTTTAAAGTCTACGACGAGAATCACACTTAAATAAAATTAAAAATCTGTTGTAGTGTCCTTAATCATTACATTTCACATTTTAAAAGTACAGTTTATAAATCGTTTGTCACTAACGTGGTGCAGCGTCCTGAATAAACAAAATTTAGATTAAAAATATATTCTTCGTTATTTTCTCACTACGTAATTATTTTATCATAATAAGAAAAAGATCATTAACTAAATTATTTAACTTATTCAGTAAGCAAAAGATTAGTAGTAGTATGATGTTAGCAGATTCCCACGCAAAGTATTTAAACTGTTTTGCCAGTAAAATTTACTGATAATCCGATAGCAGATTGTTAATAAAAATCAAGCAAATCGATGATTTTATGATATATTTAATGATATGATATATTTAAATGATTACGAAATGTGTGTGGCAATTACTGCTCAATTTCTGCACTCAATCTGCTAGCAGATTTTGTTATACTATTCTTGGTATTCTGCGGAAAAAATTTATTATAAACTCTTTGCAAAATCTGTTTTCACTATTTGGGTTAGTTATTTAATTAATAAACTTAAATATGTACACAAATAACGAAATAATAAAATAAAGGTTTTCTAAATTGCCAAATCATTTATACTCTATACAAGATATGTATACAAGAGATTATTTGTTAATTATTAAAGTATTATGATTAAATAATGAAAAGCACCAGATAATTGTACTGTACAAAATGGTTATTAAATAAAAATATACATTATTTGAAATATACGCAGTAGAAAAATAATATTTTAAATTTGTAATCTGTTTACATATAGAAATTATATAAGATGTGATGTATTAATGTTTATAGCATCTATAAATCTATACTATAATGTATATGTACGTCAAAATTACATATATTATATAAAAATATTTAAAATAATACTTATTAATTATTTCAAATAAATTTTTTTACATGTGGATTATTCAATGTTCATCTTGAACAGTACAATTTTAACTTTGATTTTTAAGGTTATTGTTTCACTCGCATGCACAACCATGTATATAAACATAATAAACATATGAAATATGCACATATGTTTCATATGCTGTATGATTACCGTACATCACCGAAACATTTTGCATTGTTTAAAATCAAATAATATCGCTCGTATACATAAGGTCTTAAACTATACGTAGGTACAGTTTAAAATCTAAATTTTTGGTCGCACTGTAAACATAAGATGTTGCAAGAAGAATTGAAAAAGGAAATGTAGTAAACCCACAAACCGACGGAAAAATATATTTACAGTTTCACTTTGTAAAATGTATAATGAATGTTAGTAATTCTTTGTAGGGAATAATTTTCTGATGTTTAAAAGCTATATGTGATTGTAAAGCATCACAAATCGTATTATGTACACAACATTTTATAACGTAAAATATAATCATTGCTTAATATATTTTGTATATACACGCACATTGTTTTCCTTTCAAGGAAACAATTTTAACTTATCTCGATAGAATTATTTGTTCCTCTAACATTCTTCTTTTATGCTTCTTTTATGAATTTGTTAACTATAAATCTAAATGCTAGTGTAAATTGTCACATGCAAATAGCAGTATCAACAATAGTTTCTGTAATCATGTAATCACGTTGACTTAACCTTCAGAGATATCTTTTAAATAGGCTCAGTAATTAAAATGTTTTTAATCATTTTAATCTTTTAAAATCATTGCCTTTCTTTTTTTATTATCACGATTTTTAATATGTCATACACATGAATATCAGACAGTTTATAACTCTCACGAAGCTAAATGTTGACAATAATAATCAAATCGTACTTCAATACCAGAACGGTTGTGGCGCTGGTCTAGGTGGTTGCTGAAAGCCCTGCGCGGTGTAGGGGCTGGCGAAAGCCTGATGAGGGTGAGCGCTATAGGCGTGGGGTTGTTGGAGACTCGTCGGTGGACTCGACAGATTGACTCTACTGCCGCTGGCGGTAATCGCGAGATTCCATGACGGCGACGTGGTTCCTTGACTGGTCTGTTGCGCTGGCTGTTGCTGCGGCTGTTGCTGCGGCTGTTGCTGCTGAGAAGGTGAAACCGAGCTGATTGGCAGTTCCGACGAGGCTAACTGATCGGGAGCGGAAGTGGAATTGCCGGAATTCGGTCCCATCATGGTGACGAGAGAATTCGGAGTCGGCGGTAGCTGATGGCCGCTCGTTTGCTGATAGCTGGATGACGTCGAAGCTTGATGAGCCATGTGGGCGGTCGTCGACGAGGCCGGTGACAGTATCGGCAGATTGGGATAAGTCACCGTGGCCGGAAAAGTGTAAGTCGAGGACGAGCCGACGGTAGAGGGTAGTCGTGCGGAATCCGCTGCCAATTGATGAGTCACCGTTGCGTGATGAGACGAGTATAACTCTGGAATTGAAATAGAACGTGTAAGAGTCATCTCGCTTTTTTGCACTCGCGTTACACTTTCATAAAAATTAAGAGGGGAATGAAATTTATTATTATCACGCATACCTTGGCCGGAGGAAAATGCAGCATCTGGCAGACCCTGAGGATGCGGATGCGGGTGTGGATGTGGATGACCCGGCGGCACGGCCGCCCCCGCGTGAGGGTGAGGCGGTGCCGGTGGATGAATGACGTAGCTAGTAGGATAGGCGACAGAGCTGACGTATCCAGCGGACGTCGACGAAGAGATGTGTTTCCTCAGCCGAGCTCTCCTGTTACTGAACCACACTTGGATTCTGGCCTCTGACAATCTTGTCCTCTGGGCGAGTTCCTCTCTGACGTAGATGTCAGGATACTGGGTCTTCTCGAATGCTCGTTCCAGCTCATCCAGCTGATGAGCCGTAAAGGTAGTCCTGCTCCTGCGCTGCTTTCTTTTCAACGGGATTCCCGGTTCGCTCTCACAATCAGACCCTGAACTCGTTTTGCCTACAAGAAGAATGTGAAAAAAAAATGAGAAAAATATGAAATGTGATAAAAGGTTTACGTTTAAGATTCACGTTGGAATGACTCTTCAAAAGCAAACTGCGGCAAAGCTCGTATTTACAAGTAAGCTCCGTCGCTAGGTGCAAGTGACGCGACAGAAGATCACACGAACGTGAAGATCGCACGAAGCAAGAATTAAATTAACTTTAAAGTTACATTTTAAAGGTATATAAACGTTCGAAAAAAATTTGCTTTGAAGAAAATCACATACACCCAGACACACATACGCATATATATCGTAATATATGACACGACACATGTGTGTGTGTGTGTGTGTGTGTGTGTGTGT